TAAAATACAAAATTGGACAATATTTAAAATACAAACATTTCAAAGTGATGAAAATGTACTCTTTAATCGCTCTAATTCCATAAATTTTCACCAAATCTTCGTCTATAAAGTATGTATTCATAATTGTAACATAAAACTTGTCTCATGTGAGATATTCACATTTTATTCTTCACAGGTCAGTGAAAAAAATTCTTTTTGCACCTAAAAATCAATTGAGAATTCGTAACATATAACTGAATTTTTTTTAAATTCCATGTGCTATCTGGGAAAGTTGTAAGTTTCTTAGTTTCTTAGTTACCTATACGTTGTCCTAATTAAATTTTATCATATTAAGAATTTTGTTATATTTTTATTATATATGACGTTCAGAAAAACATTAGTACAATTATTATAAGTGCCCGCTGATACTTGGATTGGTACGAGTCATCCCAAGTTTCCATACATATTTCTTTCTAGGTAAGGCATCGCGCGAAAAGAAGAACGGGTGAGAGAATGAATCATGTGTATATATATGTGTATGTGTGTGCGCAAGCGAAAAGATCGCTGCTGGCTCGTGTCTGCTGCCGCGATTGTTAGCTCGCCAGTAGTCAGACAAGGACAGATAGATATTCGCTGTCCGTCTTTGTTTAACTCATACCAGTCGTAGCATGGAACAGAACCTCATCGCATTTATCATGTAGTTGCTACACTGGATAAGGTTGTGATTCTCACCACAGCTAACTATGGCTCTGCGGTCGATTCGGAGTTCTCGGCTCCGGGGCCAGGAGCCTTAAGAATATAATATTTTAATGAAATAAAAAACCACAAAATTAAACAAGTACGGATATTAAATCTAAAGAAAGTATTTTCTCCGAAAAGACAGTATAAGAAGTTTAAGAAATATATAATAAGACAAATTCTAGTATTAATGACTGCCACTAACAAGTACTATTCTATAAGCACTATTGATGTGAAATATTACTGAATTTTAAATATAAGTAACAAAAATAACTAGTAAATAAGTAAAAAATATTATATTATATTCATCATATTTCTGAAATAATGCTGCAATATTGCTAAAGTAATATTGTAAATTAATATTAATGCAATGTCTCTGCAACATTGCACTGGAATATGTAATCATGCAACGTTGTAGCAATGTTGCTGCAAGCTTCTGTGCTGTATGGATAATGTAAATTAGAAAACTTCAAGTACTTGCATTTATACTCTTATATTGTTTTCTATTGACAAATTATGTATAAATATGTAAAAATTGAGTTGCGTATATACGTGTACAGTTTATCATATTTCAATAGATAGGTTAGGTTAGGTTAGGGTTAGGGTTTTTTGGGGACGGAGTGCGGGGCAAGGGGTGGTGTTTCTCCCGCGCATATACGTGTACTGTTTTTATATATTCATTACTTTTTTTATAAAGAAGTTATGCAAAAATAATTTTATTTATTTATCATAACGTACTTCATGATGATCTTCGATTGGGTGCAACATCCAATCGAAGATCATAATAAAATGAAGATATTCGTGTACAGCATTCTGTATCAAGTTAGAACCACTGTACAGCTTCGATAGTTGTTGACGACTGGAAAATATCTAAAGAATGTTTGGAGTTACAATACTATGTATTATAAACAAAGTTCTCTCTGATCAAATATCTCGCGGAGATTGACATGGAGAAATATTTAAGCATCAATAACTGAAATATTTCTAACTTCTTTCGTTAATAACTTTTTAATAAACAACAAACGACGGCTAAAACCTTTTGAAGAGTACTCAGGAGGGTGATCTCTACAACATAGGTCATTCGAGCTGCATCCCCAATACTACATAATTACTATATCTTTTATTTAATTGTTAGACAACGTTCATTTCGATCAGTCTCCATCACATACTTTATATGAGTACACATAGTGACAATTTCTTTAACCTTTTCGGGACGGGTGGTCACTTTTTGTGCTATAACTTTTATATCGGAAATTATTCTACCGATTCTCATGGAGTTTGCTATAATGGGGTTTTTGGGGTCGCTGAATTCAAATATTTTTGGGTTTTTTCTGGTTTCTTCAGAGTTCTTCTGGTTTGGGTTTCTTAGGTTTCTTCAGAAGTTTTTAGGGTCGCTGAATTTGAATCTGACTTTAAAAGTTAAAAATTCAAAATGACGGGTCCAATATGGCGGACTAATCTCTGTAATATGAATTTCATGGATTTCAAGCAACATTTGAAATTTTTGACCCCTTTAATGTTGGCCGTATTGGATTCGCCATCTTGAATTCTTTGCGGCTGTTACATCCTGCGGGACTCCACAATATATTATATAATTATTATTCTATTTAAATTATCACGAATAATGTACGAACGAGCGCATGTAGTAAACCACGATCAAAGAACTTATAGAATTCATAATTTGACGTATTACATAGTAATGTTAATAATACGTTGAATAGCGTTGTCAAAGTCAAGTCAAGGACACGTTAATTTTTTTAAATGGGATCCCTTATTTCTTATTGTGTATTCTTATGGCTTATCGCGAAAACTTTTTAAAACACTGTAACAACGTATTTTTTCATTAAGTACTTTTTGATAATTAAACTTGAAAATTCTAATACCGTCGGCATTAGAATTACTCAAAGATGTAACACCCAGAGGTTGCCCAATCGGATTTACACCTCTTTCGTGTATGTATGTGTGTTGTGTGTGTACGTGCGTACGTGCGTAGGCGGGTATATATATATATATATATATATATATATATATATATATATATATATATATATATATATA